CTGAAAATTATTGGCATAAACAAAAAAAAATTATGATTTATATACAATTGTACAAATGTAAGTAGACTTGTAATGCGACTGTGGCGTTTATATTTAACTTAATTTTTTTGTGTGATGTTTTTTTTAACTTTTTTTGAACGAAAAACCCAAACTTTTATATATTAATTATTACATTATTTATATTTATGTATATATTTAGAATACATTTTTATTCTTTTCATTTATTAAAATTGAAATTTCAACTCATATGCATGTTTGTAATTGTATGTAACTATAATCAATTTTTTTATAATTTTTTTTTTTTTTTTCTAGAATACAAACAAATAATACATAGTTTTTAAATGAGTATAAGTGTTTTAACACATTGCGTATAGAGCATGGCATTCATGTACATACATATGTGGGTATGCTATTAATTTTTTTTTATAATTACGAAAAATACATTGCATGTATTTGGAACACTTTGCGTTTACAGCAGGAATTTGAGAAGAAATTAGTTAACAAAGAAAAAACACCAATACATACTTACGTAAATATATGTTTTTAATACACTCAATAAAATACATACATACATATTTATATTAGTGTCTCACAAAAAAAAAAATGCTCTTTTCCGCCGGAATTATAAAATTTATTACATTTTAAGACTTCCGCCAAATTATTTTCGGCAAAATATTAAGATTTACTAGAGCTAGAGCCATTTTAAAATACCTCCCAACCATATTTGTTTTCTTAGCAAAAATTTTTAAACATTTTGTATGCAGATGTTTTAAGCTTAAGCTCTTCTATCATCGGAGGGGATTTTTGTGTAAAATATTTTTAAAAGGTAATTTTATTCTAAAAACTCGTTGAAAGTATTTTCAGCAGATGGGCCCACTCACGTACATAAATCTTAAGATTTTTCTCGAAATATTATGGCGAAGTCTTAAAATATAATAAATTGTATGATTCCGATGGAAATACGTATTTTTTTTTTTATGAAGAGTGATGCACCCTAATGTACAAACATACATACATACAAGCATAACGCAGAACATTTTAAAAAAAAGAAACAGCTCATAGAAGACGGAATACGTACATATTTATTAGTGTTTGTAAACATGTATGTATGTACATATGTATGTATGTCTATTATGAAATGTTACAAATAGTTGCCAGTGTGAAAAGATTTCGCTAGCATATTAGCACTTAGGGGCAAGTAAAAAACAAAACAAAATATCCTCTGCGAAAAAGGTCTTCTAGTTGAGCCTTTTTGGTTGCAAATTTTAATTTAATTGTATTTTTTTTTCATTTGGTTTTGTTAAATAAATTCTATAATAGTATTAACTGATTTGTATTATTACTTAAATTGCATTTGAATGTGATTTTGTACTTTTTGAAAAACTTCATTTCGATTCACATACTCGTATTTCATTATTTTTTTATATCTTTTTTTTATTATTGCGATTCGTTTAAATGCGAATGCCTTTATTTTTCATTTATTTATGTTTGTTTTTATTTTGGCGATAGGAAAAATGCACGCAGATTTGGATTGGCGTTTTTTAAGTCAAAAATACGTATAAAAAAAATTGTGCAAAAGTATGCAAACAAAAAACGCAACTATAAAAAAATAAAATGAAAAATTAAATTCGATTGCAAGCCCTAGCGGCTGGCAAAAGGGTAAACTACACAACCCACTGAAATTCGATGGAAGCTAGGGTTTTATAATTTACAAAAAAAAAAAAAAAGTACCGTAGTAAGTAACAAACCGGCAAACTTTTTTGCCATACAGCAGCTGCCAGTATTTGATATGCAGCGCACATTCTTTGCACAGTGCTGTATTTGCTTATATTTTTGTTATTTACAAATTTCTAAAAAAACAGAAAACAAATTATAAGTCCATTTGCCAACCAAATACATATGTTGCACCATCCGCCACGAGTTGCTAACACAACAACAACAACACATTTTGCCATCAGCATTAATGTAATTAGTATAAACATTTTTCGTATTACTCGTAATTTCAACACCTTTTTCCATTTTTTTTGGCAAAAAACAGCTTATTAAACAATTTTATATTTTTTAGGCAAATTCGAATACATAGTATGTACGTAATTTGGCATTATTTAAGTAGTAGCTCTCTTGAACATTTGATTCAACACAATTTTTCGTTTTATTTTATTTTTTTATTTAGACTTTTTTAAACTAATTTAAACTTCATTTTTTTATTTTAAACTTCTATAAATTAGTTTTACTTTCTTTTGCACTTGTTCCATTTGCTTTTAAAGTAAACAAATGTTTTTGAATAATATGTTTGAATGTATACATATATGTATGGTACTATATACATATTGATAAAAAGCATAAGTTATATATATTGTAGTAAAATAGTAGTAGATAATAATAGTAATAAAAAGTAAGAAAAAACGTAACTAGATAATTGGCATAAAGAGCGAGGGTGTTTGTTGGTTTTTATTCTCTGTGTTTGTGTGTGTAAATGTGTGTAGCTTAGTGTTGGTGTCTTTCGTCACTTAAGTTTATTTGATTATTTTTTTCTTGCCTTTTTTTGTAAATGAATTTTCATATCCAATAGTTGTTTATTTTTTTAATTCAATACTACTACAATTTTTACTTTGTAGTGGTCTGTACGTTTTGAGCAGTCCGTTCGTTGTGGCTAGTCATTTATTATTTTTTATTATATTGTTTTTTTCTCACTTATTAAATAGTATGTAGCTACATTTTGCTGCAATAATAGTACATTGATTCATTTTGGGCGGGTATGTTGTTCTTGTTTTTTTTTAATAGCGTATACTATGTATGTATACATATATTTGTTGTTAATACACAAAATAAATTCACTATGCTACACAAGTACATTTTACGACACTACCTCATGTATTAAGCGCTTACAGGGTGTATGCAGTTGTAAAGTGTGTTTAAAGAAAATAATAAATTTTTTTTTTAATAAAATTTATGTTCGATTTTTGATTCCCTGGCATTTTTCGTTTTTTATTTTATATGTATTTGATCGATGCCCATTTACGCGGCGTTTTCACTACCCCTAAAATTGCGTAATCCCGTTCATTAAAATCAATTTATGATTACGTTTGTTCTCCTGATGACAATTTAGCAAGATCTAAAAGCTGTTCACCTAGTTTTAAATCGATTATTTTATTTTGTTTTATTATTTTTTATTTTAGAGTCACATTAATGAAATTGAGTCAAACTTTTTTCTATTTCACCCCCAATTAAAACTCGTAGACGATTGCAGCTGACTGCTTTTTCTTCAACCAAATTGAGAACCTCATCGTAATTTTAATTTAAATTAGAAATAGTGCGCAATTTACACAATTTATGGTTTGTGGAAACACACTATTAGGAATAGTGCTCTAATTGCGCAATAAAAATCTCGTGGAAACACGCTATTAGTAGCGGCCGGATATAAAGTTGCTAAAGTGATGATTTCTTGTTTTTTTTTTGCAAATACATATCTTCGTCAGCAATGCAAAAGACCTTAATTAATGAATTTGGAATTATGTGCAAGAAACGAAAAATTTTTAAACTAACACAGGGAATACTCTAACGGCAATTTTAAATATGTTAATGTAGCATTAATAGCAGCGATATACTGTAAATATGTCATGGTTTGTTCATTCAATTTCGATTAAATTTTTGTTCACTTCTTAAATTTGATCGTTTATTATACCGAATTTCCAGTGGACATTTCAGAGCCACAAATTGTGTGCCAGTGGAAAATGCGATTCGGGAAACAATTTTATTTCACTAATATGCCAAATTTCCACTAGGCAATGTTTGTGTCAAAGTTTGCATTGAAACATACGCTAAAAAAATTGTCGCTAATCTACATTTCAAAATTTTTTCTATGCAGAACTAATGAGCTTTGTTTTCAAAATAATGAGACGAATATTTTTTTAATGTCCAACTTTGTCAATAAAGTGTTTGTGGTTTAATGTGGGAATGCCGCCATAAATTCGTTTTCACAAGACATTTTTTAATTTTCTCTTTCATGTCTAGTGAAAATTGGGCATTATTTCTAAACTTAACCGTACATTAAATTTTTTCATTTAATGCCAAGTGAGAATACGGTATTATTTTTACAAAGGTCTTAGACTCATTTGATATTTTTCTTTCTACTGTTATTTCTTCGAACAAGTTCAATTGATATTTTGATTTTTAAAGTTTCAGTCAATATAATCGAATTCACTTCATTGCCGCTGTTTTTAACCTTTTAGCCCTTCTGCATTTATAAATTTTTTATAATCTAAAAATTTTTCGAAAAAACTTGCACTCAAGAAAACGTTAATATTTAAAGGAAAATTAAAAAAGCTGTTTTTAACGCGGTCGGTTTTTTTGAAATCTTAAACTAAGTATAAATACAATTAGAAATATTTATAGAAAATGATTCGACAATGATCTTTGAAAAACAAATTCCATCCGAAGAAATAACTACTATTTTCAACGCCTAGTATAAATAATTTTTAAAATAAATGAGCTGATAATTTTTTTTTTTTTTTTTTGAAAAAAATAATAGTTAAGGAATCAAAAATCGATAGTACTAATAATTTTTAAAAGAAGCTGAGAAGACAGTTTTTTTTATTTAAAAAGAAAATATATACATGCATATATATTTTTATTATCATATTCTAATGCCTGAAAAATTTTATAATGACAAGTATTTTTCGCAAAGTTTTCATTTTAAATTTTAGTAGTCTGATCGATTTTAAAATTCATTGGTGAAACTGGGGATGATAAATTTTAAAATTGTTTAATGATATTTTTTAGTGCATAGACTCAAAAACATCGAAAGTCTCGAAACACTGAATAAAATGTCAAATTTTTAGTATTAAAAATATCTAATGTTCCAAAATTCCTTTTCCACTAAACAATTTATTGCATCACACAGGTCAAAAAAATCAAATATTCACAAGCAAAATGATCCAAATCAGCTTCTAATTTTTAATTAAAGCTTTTATTTTCAAAGGAAATTTAATTTTTTTTTATAGCCAATAGTAATTTCAGTTATTGTTTTAGTCTGTGACAGATGAATTTTCAACTTATTTTCTGTAAAATTATATATTTAAGCACTTTCAACACAAGTTTACACCTGCATACACCCTTTGTCGTTACTCGGATTGGCATGCCTTATGTTGCAGTCAGCCTATGCAAGTTCTATTTTCGAAATTGATCGCCAAAAAGTGACACAAAAAGCGCTTGGTGCGTGTGCGCTAGGGGAAGTAAAATTTCAATTTCACACTTTGACGGCAAAATTAGTTCAAAAGGTACTTTGATCATCATCATGATTGGGTCACATTCGTACACTTGCTAATTTCAACACTGCACAAAAACTTACATACAAAGTTAAATTAATGCAAATAATATAAAAGATTAGCATACTTGCACTATTAATTTTTCGTAAATGTTTTAAATTATAATTTTGATATTGTTTTTTGTTTTATTTTTATAATTTTTATTTTATTTTATTGTTTTTTCAATACAAAATCGTTAGTGCGCTTTTTCCAATAATTCCATAACATTTTTTTTTTATATTTTACAAACATTGTTTTTCCATATTTCAAACATACAAACGTTTCAAACGAGGAGCTTACCGCAAAGTGCAATGCAGTGCTGCACTATCGCTGTGTGTGTGTGGGTGTGTCTGTTATCTGCTTGAAAAAACTTTGTGTGCTTGCAACAAGTGCGTTTCCTGCTGCACCAAATTGTTGCAACAAGCGCTCTTATACTTCTTTCTCCTTTCCTAAGTACACTATTACATATACATATACATCTGTATGCATGCATGTATGTATATATTTTTTATATACTTAAATTCCAGATTATACACAAATGGCTAAGTTTTTTTTTTTTGTGTTTTTTTTTTGTTTTGGGGTGTATATATAAGTAGTATGTGTGACAAATTTTCGTTTTTGTTTTTTTTTTTTTAAGAATACCTCTGGTGTGTAGCGGCAATGTGGTAGTACTTTTGCGTGCTTGTACTTGATTATGTTTATATGTATGAATGTATCGTATGCATATTAGTTGATTTATTACTAAATAGTACATAGTATTTAAGTTTATACATGGGCGGTACCTCAACCTTTGGCATGACGCTTTTTTTTTTTTTTTTGCGCGTCAAAAGAAGTTTTTCTTTTACATTTTGCAGTGTGATTGCGTGTCTTTGAGCGTTTTCATTTATTATACTTACATATACATTTGTATATACTTATAGGTATGTAAGTGGATACGTATTACATACTACATACATTCATGCGCATGTTTGTACATAGGTATGTACATATGTATGTATGTATGCATGTATGTATGCATGCATTTCTTGCATTGCATTAGTTTTTATGTGCCAGCACAATTTCATTTAGGTTGTTGTTGGCACAATTTCAACAGCATTACTGGCCGGTGTTGTCGTTGTTGCAGTTGCATTGGGCACCGCTGCGGTATTGCAACCCGCTGCCACATCATTGCTGGTGCCCGCATTCAGCGATGTGGAACTGTTTGTGCGTTTTATGTCGCCTCCAGCCGCAGCAGCAGCGGCACCTTTAATATTTTCACTAACTTCAATATCGTTGATATGCGCCGTTGCAATTGTGCTGGAGTCATCATCATCAGTTTTGTTTCTGAAAGTAATCGATAGCAAAAAAAAACTATATGTTAGAAACATCACATTCTTGCTTCGTAGAGGCAAAAGCAATAGTTCCAATGCATTTTTTAATGTTTGATATTTGAAAAGCAGAGAAAATTTCGACTGCAAGCCGAACGAGTATAGTAAGAAGTCGTCCTAAACCAAACGCTATGCTCATACCAACCCTCCCAAATTTATTCGCAAATAGTAAGGCAAGTTATTTTGAATTTCTACGGTCTTGACTACGCAGCGCTGACGTCATCGTCATAAGGATCCGACTATATTCATATAATCAATGAATCCATTAAGTGTTGTCGTCAATCATAACTAAGGATAGGTCCAGGAAACGTGCAATCTGGGTGACATCGGACCATTGGAGGAGAGGGCACATTTCCAAAAATTGGCATAATTCTTGTTTAGTAAGAGTCTAGCTTGCTATAATATCCAGAACAGTGGTGGTTGTTCTCCGACATCGACATTCAAAGAGCGGGCTATTCACGAAGGTGTTGGTTGAAGCTCTCGATAAATGCGGTTTAAGGCCTGTCTGTAGTCTTTCTGTTTTAAGCGGACGGCATGCACATGGCTAAATCAGGTTTTTCGAGATCCATGACGTGCCTGGGTGAAGGCTCTGCAGGCGTTTAACTGCAAGAGTTCGGGCTTCGCAGAAGGAATACTTTGCAAGTTCTATTTCGGCGTCCTGACAGGTCCGAGGCTTCGTCGCAAAATAATCGCAAGTAGTCGAATGTGGAAGTTCAAACAAAAATAAAAATTAACTGGCGATTAATTAGAAAACATATATAATTAAATTATAGAAATCTTTAACGTCCCAAACGTAAAAAACTCGGACCTATTTAGGTTGTTATCGTCGCTTAGTACCTAAATTCACATTCTTCAAATATATTGAAATGGCGAATTTAGTGCTGAACAATGAGAAAAAGGCTGTTTCTATGGCGTTACTATCTTGGTTAAAACCAGGAGAATACCGTTATATTCCCGATAAATGTGATAAGGTCAACGGTTTTGCCGACGTTATCGTTTTTGCTTCGTTTTCATAGGACAAGGCTGGTAATCGAAATAAAAAAATAGTAATTTTCGATGCAAATATCGATTGGATCGATTAAGTTGTTACATATTTGTATCGATGAAGTTATTGATGATGTTTTCTTCGCTGCAAAATGTATGCCAAATGTGGGTTCTTCCTAAAAATTTATAAGTTTCCGTATTAAATTAGGGATGTACATATTTATAAACTTTATTTTTCGTACTCAGAAAAAAATGCAAGTTTTGATTTGTGAGCTAGTTTCGTTACATTTCCGATAAAAATTAAAGACGGCACCGATTTGTTCGTAATTCGCATGGTAATTGGATCTGTATTAACAACAAATGACAAAACTCAAAGTTTTGTATGGCGAATTAGAGAGCGAACTACGTAATTGGGGTGCCGTGGGAAAGCCGTATAAGACTCCAAAAATATTACGCCGGCTCCGAACGGCGATTGTATTTTTATAAGAGAAGCTATTTTTCATGGCAGAAATACACAACTCAAAACCACTACAAAAAACCCGGTTTCGGCTCTGTGCCACCGAGAACGCGTTCCGGTTTTGGTTTAGTTCTGCATGCAGGCAAAGTCAACATTTCTTGAAGATGCCTTTAGATTATAGACGAAACATCGGAAATAATAAACAAAAGGAATATAAGACATCTCATTATTTTATTTGTTCTTGGCCTAGAGCTCAACAAAAACAACTAAAGGAAACCTAACCAACAAAATGCAGTCAAGAACGTTCCCATTCATGGAACAATTTCTCATTTTTTGTGCAAGAAAAGTTCGTGTCTTAAGTCTTTCGTTGACTTTATTTGCATAAATGTCTTTCAGTTCTTTTTTGATTAGTTCTAATATGCAAATATTTCTAACTGATTTACGCTATGTAAATAATAAAGTTCTCGCTTCCATTCTTCGCGAATAGTTCAGAGAAAATTTGTTCCCGTTTCGTTCGCTGGCAGAACGTTCTTGAGACTTTAGTTCCCAAATGGTTCTTCGAGAGAAAGTTCTTTAGACTTTTGCTCCCATTTTGTTCTTTGCCAGAACGTTCAGGGGACTTTGTTGCCATTTGCTCTCTTATAAGTATTCCGGAAAGTATTATTCGCATTTTGTTCTCTTTGGGAACTTTCCACAGGGTTTTGTTTGTAAAAAGATTTCCGAAGGTTTTGTTATCATTTCGGTTTATTTTTTTAAGCGTTCGTGGGAAAAAAAACACGGGAGTGACATTTGATTTCGATCATACCTTTTGTTCTCGGTCCCAGGTGCCATCCAACTACAAATGACACTGAAGATGGCAAAACGGCGAAACCAGTTTGTCTCAAAGCCAAACTTGGTAAGGAATGATGGAAATTACTTCCAAAATAAATCACAGTCCCAACCTGTCGGAAGAATTAACCAAAACTAACAAAAAAACCATTACTACTGAAAAGTTACACATGTCTTTAATCCTTTTTTTAATTTTTTTTAATATGGTACTATTTTAGCAAATAACCAAGTAAACTATGTACATATGTATTTAAGTGGACTAATGTATGAAAAAAACTAACGAAGAGCACACTACAACATCTCCACGAATAAAAGGCGCACAAATTTAAGTAGGAAATTTGTTGACGTACCCACGACAGTAGACCCGACTTTCTACAAACGGAACGATCCAGATTACATCTGTCCCGAAAATAACTGTACAATTTGTATGCTGTTATAATAAAATCTTCTTTGTATATATACTTGGCTGCTATATCAGTGAAGATTTGAAATCACGCCTTTATAAAACAAAATTTGATTTACCTTAAACTGAGTTTACTGCGTGCATACATATCGTCGTTTAAAGTACAAAACCGCGTATCAAGAAAATGCAAAACCTCGTATGAGAGATTGCCAAAATTTTATAGAAGAGAGTAAAACTTGTCTTATTTCAAAACGGTTCTCTCTTTTTAGCTTTTTTGGCACAAATGTTAGTTACGAGGTTTTGTAAAAGCACGATACGCAGTTTTGTACTTTAAACGACGATATGAATGCCGACGTGAGCACCAGACTAGCCTTTCTATAAAAAAATGAAACTAGCCTATCTATAAATAAAAGACACCGATTTGGTGAATTCTAAATAAATAAAATAAGTATTTGGCACTTACACTTTCGCTAAGTGTTTGCTATTTTTAGATGTTGCTCAGACCAGGGATCGAACCGAAATCCTACAGACCATCCTACCAAACCATTCTCAAAAAAAGAACACTTATTTGGCATGCAAAATAATCTGAGTTGCCCACTTGAAAAAAGCTTTCGTTATCAATTTACAAACAATGCAAACTTTATTCAACTTTTAATCAAAACTTAGAAAAATTTTGAATAAAAATGTTGTACATCCACTTGAGAAACAAGAATTTCTCAAAGATTGGAAAAATGCTTACTTTTGTGTATATTGGGTTATTTACTAATCAGTTGCCGAAATCTAGAAAATCCTATTGCCACAACATATNATGTGGGATAAAAATGTTGTACATCCACTTGAGAAACAAGAATTTCTCAAAGATTGGAAAAATGCTTACTTTTGTGTATATTGGGTTATTTACTAATCAGTTGCCGAAATCTAGAAAATCCTATTGCCACAACATATAGCTTTTATAATACAGATAGTTCAGATATCTTCGCCTAAGTAGCTAAAAACATAAAATTTAGCAGCCTTTTCACTTGTCAATAATAAAAAGTATACAGCAGAAATCATCTAGATCAGGTTACTATAACTTCTAGCTCCCATACAACTGCATGATATGATATGGTTTTGCTTTAATGAAGCATCATTTAGCAAATATCATTGGCGGCGCCAGGCAAAGTGTTTACTTGGGGATACAGTATAAAAATATTCGATCGAAAGAAGAAAACAACAAGGAATATGGTCAAATGATCTCTGTTACTTCCTTTACAACTTTTAGNGTTATGAATAATCATAGGCATTGTTACATGACGCTTTAGTATGAAGGTTCCCTTGCACAAACAAGGAATATGGTCAAATGATCTCTGTTACTTCCTTTACAACTTTTAGGAGTCGCAAACTAAAATTCACGAAATATGGAGTAAATTTCTTCGAATTTTTTATAGGTATATCGAGCCATCTGGCTGAGCACAATATTGTAAAAGGTTTTGGTAAAAGGTAAATTATTGAATTACCACCAGCGATTAATACCATCGAAACCACGTTTGGAAGCAAGAAAAACACAATCTCGAGATTAGGGTTTAAGAAAAATGTATTACTGTTCGATATAGCCGTCTTTAGCGCGAATGATATCATCGACTCTGTACGGGAATGCTTCACATGTTGCACGAATGTCGTCTGGTGGAATTTTATATTGAACAAGACGTAATGGTAAATCAACGAGTCTAACCGTGAAAAGAATTGAAACAATGCTTTGTTACCTTGGGCACGAAAATAATTCGGTAGAAATCTATGGACGTTTCAATAAGAATCGTCACCATCGCATAAAGCTTGCGAAATTCAACGCCACCATGGCCACCCTATTCCCAGTACATAAACCCAAAGGATTTTTCCATATGGTCCATTCTCAAGGCCAAAGTGTCTGCTAAAAAATATAAGACAATCAACACCTTGAAGATTTCCTCCCGCCGCCACTGGGGCAAAATACCACATTTGTGCATTCTGTGACAAGCTGCTATTATCAGCGCCAAATATGGCTACATCAAACAGTAATACATTTTGTTTAAACCTTGACTAGTTCTTATAATGCACTAATGTTTTCCAATAAAAAAAAGCAAAATAGACAAAATTATAGCATTTTTAACTGGTAACACTTCGAGTGACTACCCCTGTATTTTGTTTTGTAGTTTATGGTTTGCAGGAAATCATCATATTTCTAAAGGTATTATTTTAAGTTAGCTATGCTTGTATTTTAATAAAAAATATCGCGTTAATTTTTGAAAGGAAGTACCAGAGAGCACTCTTATGGAGAATCGGAAAAAATAGATTCCCAAAAAATGGCATAATGTAGTAGGGTCAAATTTAATTTGCCCTCAATAGAGGCTATTCTGCACTCATTGTGCATCCACTGATGGAGTTACAACCTAGACTCTTGATACCATGGAATTATTCGGTAATAAAGCATCTTGGAATTATTCGGTAATAGAGCATCTAGCGAATTATGTGACCTTTTTAGTAGCCAAAAACCAAACAAAAAATTGTGATTCGAAAGTTGAATACCAAATAAAATGAAAAATCAAAATAAAAATATTCTTTAACCTGTTAATATGGCGTTTATTTGTTCAGATTTTTACTGCTAATGAAGTTTATTTCGCATCCTTCGCTTCAATAGCAATTGGCGGGCAAGTGAGAACATATTTTAACACGGCAAGGGAATTGAAAGGCGCTGAAAAAGTAAATTATCCTAAAAATCCTGCGGTATGTGCTATTACACATTTTTTTTTTTTTTCAATAACAAACCAAAAACTTTGCAATTTTCCACAAATACCACTGAAGTGAATTCATGCTTTGACACTCAATACTTCTTACTCAAATTCACAATATGTATACGGGGTCCTGCCCCATACACATGCTTACATAACTAATTGGAACTACGCTCCGCCTCTTCGCTAGGAAATTGTCGCACTAAATACTCAACGATCTAATCTTGTAAAGCAACGAGTGCGTGTGTTATTTGAATATATATATATATATATATATATATATATATAATATGTATATAGTCTCGGGAGTTGGCACAGGCATTGTTGCGTTTAATGATAGAGCAATCGAAGAAAGTGAAATAAGGAGACGGGAAAAAGCGCTTACAATTTATGTGAATTTTCGTTTTCTTGAAGATCTTTGCTACTTGGGCCATTGGTGAAACGCAGTTCATTGTCGGATTTAGGTTCGCCTTCGTCACTTTCATCGTCATCGTGCGCATCCACCGCGCTGCCGCCTAACGGTTTCGTCCACATGCCTTCATCATCCTCATAGTCATCCTCTGAATCCTGCATAACCGATTGCAGTGTACGCACCAGCGAAGTGGCCAACGCCTTCTCATTCGAGACATCCAAATCGTCTGCTGCATCTGTACCATCAGCGAATTCGCCAATTTCTTGCGTTTCCAGCGTTACACTTTTCTCAACATTTGCATTATCATCGTAGCCTGTTTCGGATTTGTCGTCATCGCTTGTTATAGTTGAAGCCGCAATCCGACCAATCGCACTCAGCGTTGTGCCGTTGTCTGTCGCATTTGGCTGCAATTGATTGCCGTCACTGCTTCCCCCATTATTGCTAGCATCATCATCGTTGTTACTATTCTCTTTAGGCGGCGATGTTGTGCCAGGTGTTGTGCTAATGGTTGCTGCACTAACTAAACTCTCACCCAAATCATTGGTGAATGAACTGAAATGCGAATCGAAATCAGCAAAATTATCCGTATTGAAATCAGCTGCCCAAGGTGTTGAATTGCTATTTGCAGTTAGATCACTGAAAGGATCCATGTGGTCCCATGGATTATTAGTTACGCCGAATGCTTGTAGTGCGGATGTTGAAACGGCATTCTTGCCGAAAAGCGAAGAACTGCTGCCACCGCCGCCGACAACACCGCTGCCATCTCCGCCAGCGTTGTTTTCATCGTCGTCGTCATCATCGTCGTCGATATTGCGACCAAACTGAAACAAATTAAGGTCGTTTTCGGCGTTATCATCGTTTTCGAGCAGATTATTGCGATAGATGTCATGTTCAAGCGCAAAAACTATGTCCTGTCGTATTGATTGATTTAGTGATGTGGTGGTTGGCACACGTTTTCGAATTGCGTTCAGGACACGACAAATATAGAGACAAAGATAGCAGATAGTGATGAAAGTGAAATGGTTACATAGAGCTACATACATACATACATACATAGAGCTACAGTGATTATAAAATGGATAAACTACTTTTTCTCTCTCGCACTTTTTCGCAATAAGATCGAAATTGAAGTTAATAGCAGTTCAAAAAACGCTGTTAGCTAACGACCGATCGGAGACTTGAGAATAAGTGGTTTAAAATATCAAGAGGTTTTATGTTTAAAAATGTTTAAGCGTATTTATTGACTATCAAAAAAGCAGGCTGTGTAAAGTGTTCTGAGTGATATTACAAAATGAAATGAAAATAAAGTGTTAATATGTGTTAACTGTGCCTGTGCATAATTACAAAACTCTCTTCACTAAAATACTAATTCACAAATGCTGGATGCACTGCATATTCTGAGTCGCAAAGCAATCATATTTTTTAATGGAAAATATACACACATATTTCGAATAAACTAAATAACTTAAATTGCATGCAATTATTAGAAAAACAAATAAACAAACTTCATGAATAGTTAGAATCATTTAGTTTTATAGAAATTACTAATTTGCGACTCGACTATGCAATGCAATTACAAATTTTTATTTAAAATAAAGCAACGACTTGTTTGTCTCTTGCCTTCATCGGACGAATACTACAAAAATATTTCATCTAGGCACACGAATTGTGTTTATAACACTTGCACCAATTAGATATAACTTACGTTTGAGCCTGGGTCGCTGAAGCCAAGATTATTGCTGCAATAAAAAGTTCTCAATAATCAATCATAAATAGATATAAATGAAAAATCATTTTTATATAGAACTTACATCATATTCGTTGACATCACATTCGATGACATTACATAGTCCCAAGTAGAATTATCACCCAGAAAATCTTTTGGTAAATGTTGACTATAGTCACCCGCTTCGTGGGCGTTACAATTCGCTAACATTTTGCTTTGTGTGGCTAAGGCCTTTGTAAGATCACCATCGGTTGGGTTTATTATTGATTGCCACAATTTTAGCTCAAACTCATCACGTAAATTACTCTCAATTAAGGCACCGATATGTTCAGATTCTGATATACTATTCGCAATATGTTTGAATATTTTTATTAAATGTCCCATATAACCGAGACGACGACCTTTTTCAGCTGATCTATTAGTTAAAAAAATAAAATAAAATAAATAAGTTAAATGCAGTTAGTAAAATCGTTGATCCGTACAAAATATGTATTTAATACTTACTCTGTGTCGGAGTTGTGCTTCCAGCAGTCAATTAATTTAGAAATCAGCTTGCACTTTTCAATCACCTAAAAGAAATTAAATTAAATATTAGCTTAAC